TATCCAGTAAAAGAGTTTGTTTTAAAATTAATATAATTGGATGCTTTTTTAACGATTTGATTGTGTAAGTTTTTCATCATTATTTTAACGTCAGCAAATATTTATGTTAGGTAAATCAAACTAAGGTTTAAATTTTTAAGGCCTAATTGGTATAAAGAGTAACTATTTTTAATATGTATGTAGGTAGGTATTTCAGTAGGTTATTTAATTTACAGACTAGAATGTTAATTTGAGCCTAATTTTTTGCAAAATTTAAACGACGTGAAGTAATAAAAGTAATAAAGTAGGTACCTGAATATTGTTTTAAACTTATTCTTGAAAGAAAAAAAACTGTATTTAATCCCTGACATACCTATAAATTATTTCTAAAGTATTTAGTACTTTATTTGTTCTATCCAAAGCCAATACATTACTTAATGAAATCAAAACATGTCCCACCTCCATCAACTAATCCTTCTAACTCCGGATTAGGCGTAAACTAAAAGGCCAATAAAACAGCCCAAATAAACTAAACTAAAACAGGGCGTAGTTAAATTATGTGATAATCGGATTCCGATGCGAAGTTTTAATTAATAGCCTGTTGTCACGGGTAATTAGTAGACATCAAGCATAGAGCAACTATATCAGCTAACCCATTTCGTACAAAACTCCGTTGTTTTTTCCGTGTGTTCCGGCAGTTAGAGGTAAGATAGCCAATTCCTCTGTGGTTGAGGATTCCGGGTAAAGCCCACTTCCAACTTCGGCCTGATTGTCACTTACCATCAGGTGAGATACAGGCCAAGAGCTTCCTCGTTGTGGATAAAAAAAAACAAATATTATAGGTACGATAGCAGCTAATAAGTTACATCATGTAAAATTATTGTTGATATAAAGTAACTAAATTCTCCATTTTACACTATTAAGTCTCATACTCCTTTTCATAGACAGATAGTATATGTATGTATAAACCATATAAAAACAATAGTTATAATTATTATATTTCCCTAATTTCTGATATTTATGTAGGTAGGTTTACAATAGTACAACATTTTCACCACCTTATTCTCTACCATTCTCGTGCGTCTTCCTTCTTTTTTTCAAGCAAGAGCTGAAAATCAGTGTTCTGCTCATTTTAGAGCAGTGTCTACACTGAGCTCTCTGCTTTTTTGCATCGCTGCGGCACACTTATACCTTAGCGCGCAGGATTTTCTTTCTTACTCTTTGTAATGTACTATATCTTTCCTGCTACCCCTATGTTTATTAATCTTACTTTTTGCTTCTTGTGTGTCAATGTGTTTTGCAAATAAACCATTTATCTATCTATCTATCTATCTATCAATAACTCGCTCATCGCGCATCTCAAAACTATAGATAGGAGTACCATTCTATGCGCCGATACCAGTGGGTAGGCTGATATTTCTAAGCTACAATCAGTATAGTCTGGGTCGCTAATTGAGGCTGACGGCACGGGTATTCTCTGCAGACCGTTTGGCACTACCGAAACAAATAGACGTTGCGTAATCCCAGCGCTGGGAGTCTGGGACTGGACTCCGGGAGTCTAAAGAGTTGATCGTATTGATTGGAGTTGAAACAACTGGTTGGAAAAGAGATACTTATTACATACAAGTTTTGTTGACGAAAACATCCTTCTAGGTTGATAGTAAAATTCTTGAAAGTTTAGTTCATGAAAAACAGAACGTAAAATTTAAAAAAATAGTACACATTATGTAAGAATGAGGTCGATCTGGAACCAAATACAATACCATCCACCACTTATATATTTACCCTATTTAAGCAATTCAGACCTAAGACCACGTACTAAATCTTCAATAATAACTTTCGACGGACCCACGGGAAGTATTGGATGTGAACTTTTCAATACATATTGATTGAGTGCCAGGAGTTAGTGGTACTACAGTCAAGGTACAAGGTACATTTTAATCTCATTGTGAAAATCATAGGATATCTGAGAGAGATTTTGTGATAACTCGATTAAATGAAAAATGTCATAGAATAAAGCACAATTCCCTTTTACTGTGGAAGCACTGAACCACGACGGAGTGGACAAGAGGTCCATATATTAAGAGTCTGGGAGTTGCCACATTGTAATGTGGAATCGATAGCAGGTATGGCCAAATTGTTCCGTATTAGACACATACAATATATTATAAACTTACAAGTAGTTCATTTTCTTAAACACTTCTAGCTTTTGAGCGTGGATTCAGTCAATTTGTACGTGCTGACCAAATTGTTCCGTAGAGAGAGACATTGTTTTAAATCTTGTAGTTTCTTGTTTATTTCATTGTTTTAAACCTTGTAGGTTCTTGTTCACGCTCAAAAGCGTAGATTCAGACAATTTGTACGTGCTTATAGACGTCCGATAGTAACCTATAAGGAATGTTATTATGCTCTCTATCCTTGGGTTCTTTTAGTTCTGTAGACTATTCTAGAGACAAAAATTATGTCCTTCGAAAGCTACGATTAGGTGTTAATGGTAACGATAGTATAGATAAATTCATCCACAAAGACGCGCCCCACCATTCTTCCGCTAATGTTCGAGTGTTACCGGCACACGCTAAATTATCAATGAGTGCACACGCACACTACAATAATGACGCTCGGATTGCTCGTATCTAACTCCCCGCACCCCGCGCTTCTCTCGACCAAAATTTGTGGGGAGCGTCTTCGTGGATGAAACGATTTATATGTAGGATACGGCTCACACTGTCAAACTCACATAGGATCAAGGTGTACCTAACTAAAACCAAACGTAAGCTACTTAAAAAAATTCTTGAATAAAAAATGGCACGTTTATAAACTACATGGAATAAGAACATTGAAAAGAAAAGGTTTCAATGAAACTACACCTCATATCCCGTATTATCACAGCAATCCCACTTTATATTCTCCGATAGATTTAACAGATTAAACTTCGATTGTGTGTAGCATTCCGATTCGCTTTGTATTCGATACCTAAGCGAAAATTCGATGCAAACGACCAAGTTTCCAACGAGACGGCTGAGAAAGTGTAATAAGTGACTATTCGCGTCGAATCGAGATACTGACTGTACGGCTAGCACGAAAAACTTTCGAGTTCGAATCGTTTGCGTATTCGACAAAATTCGATACTCAATCTTTGAATTAAACAATAACGTGACAATTTTGATTCTCAAAATAAGTTTTGTGCAACCATTTCTCATACAAGTATACTTTACGACACGTTCACAAGGGCGCTGATGTAGTTTTCGTACTTAATTTTTTGATGGCGATTCGAATACGTAAACGTTTCGAACTCGAAAGTTTTTCGTGCTAGCCGTACTGATGTTTATCGGTTATCGAATGTAACTATAACTATCAATATACCGGAATCGAGAAGGGTTGAGATGGCAATCTCCTGCAAAGCAGTTATCAGATTTACCGAGTGACTAGTCAGTTGTATTACGTTGGGATTGGGATACTATATCCGTCAAAACTGTCTACTTATTCAATTTAAAAGCCTTTGAGGAAAAGGAAATATTCTCGTTTTTTTCGACAGTGAAGAACATAAGTATATTATGTATTAGTGCATTATAGAGCCAGTTTGAGTTTCTAATAACTTTATAACACACCTCATTATCAAAGACAAATTATACTTTACTTATACTTGGGTAGGTATATTTATTCTTGCGAAAATGTTAAAAAAAATCCTTAGACTATAATGTCTAGTACCGTCAATACCTTCGACAGCTGATAAGCATCACATTTGATTTTAAATGTTGCTGGTGACTATAAATCCAGTCACAGAAATTTCGTAGAAAAATCTGGAGAATAATATTTCCATTTATATAAATATTTTTATGAATAAATAAATAAATTTATGTTTTCATACTAGGGCATTATCTTCTTACATGATAATTCTCAGAAACATGAAAAGAGTTTATGGTTAACATTTTGAGGTGCGGTTTACTATTTCCATTAAAAATATAAGCACATTTTCAGTTCATAGAATAATCACATCTCTTTGATAAATACATTATAACTTACGGCTTCTCTCTGTAAAATATCGCGATTCTATGACATATCAAAATACGTAAAATCAAAGCACATCCTTTTTAACCTTAACATGTAAAACATAGAGTTTAATTTATTCCAAATTTACTTACGTATACGAGTACATTTATTTAACCAAATGAGGCTCTTCCTCTTCATAATGAATTCCAAAATATTCCAATGTATTTCTAAGATAATTAAGACTCGAAACACGTCTTATTTGATATCTTATCAACAGCCTATTCAGATCCGAGCACGTGGTCTTGATAGAACAATAGTATTCTAGTGTTAACGTCAGTATGTGTAATAAAATTTCTTAACCCTAAACTACTCGTAGTATAGGATCGTTGATTTGAAGTCAATAGTGTAAAACGTGGTTCGTTTTCTTACTATGTTGAACATTTACTTCCCTTGATTTAATAGATACTTATTTAGATTAATATCATTGCAGGTTTAATTAGGAAATCAAAAGGAAAATACTATTATTTTCATGAATAGAATAAAAGTATAATAATTGTCGTTAATTACTAATATAATAAAAGGCTGCTGTTGTGCTGTAAAACTGTAAATAATAAAAAATAATAGCAAGTACTGAATACTAATGAAATAGATGTAAATAAATCAAACAAACCTTATATAGGTTCAAGTTGGCTTCAATTGGATTCCAATCCGCAACCAGTGCTGACATTTTCAGGTATCGGGTTGGCTATTTAGTCCTGAAAAGAAAGTTTTTTAACTATGAAAATCTATTTATAATAAGTTATTATTATCTGTAAGTAGGTACTTATTACGTTACTATTAAATTGGAAGGAAATAGTAGGTACTTGATTGTTATAGAACTGATAATGTCATTACTATAATCCATACTTAACAAAGTACTGTTAATTTATTACGTTGTTTCCATTAATTAATAAATAGTAATTAAGACTTTCCAGCAAAACAGATAATTGAAATGGGCGTATTTGCAATAACTACAGTAAATTACAGGTGTAATGGCGGCTAATACAGTACCTCTGTTAAATAAAAAATAAGTATTAAAAGCCTATTACAATATGGCCAACTCCAGGCATTAACCGAAACAGCATGCATGAGTAACAGAATTTTGGATCATTATCATCATCATCATCATCATCTCAGCCATAGGACGTCCACTGCTGAACTTAGGCCTCCCCCAATGCTTTCCATGTTGCTTGGTTGGTAGCGGCCTGCGTCCAGCGCCTTCCTGCTACCTTTATGATGTAGATTTTAGATACTTTTACCAATATCTCCTGAACCCAAAATTACAGCTGTAACTCGTTTACTGGATTGATTTAAGTCAGTCAATTTGTTCCAGAGGATCATCAATTGTGAAATGACATGCCATCGGTGTTTTACAATGAACTCTACATTGATAAGAAACAAGGTTTATTATTGCAAATAACGAAGGCAAGGGTTTTTGTATACCACAACTCCTGGATCAACACCCACTCGACCATTCAAAATCAAAAATATCTTTATTCGTATAGACTAATTAAATTAGTACTTACAAATCGTGTAAGGAGCTTAAGGAGCCTATGCATGTCTCATTCTTTTTTGCCCTACGAGTGCTTCGAGACAAACATTCGGCAAGTTATCCCCTTATGCTAAAAAATCCACTTTTTTCTTTTTCAATAAAAAACGAGCCTACTCTATTCGCGTCTCTTTAAATATTACAGTTTTGAACAAATATTAATAGCTGACTATTAATTAATCTTTTGTCCAGGTATTATTTCTGTGTGATTTTAATAAATTCGAAAAGGCTCATTATGAATGAAACTATTAAGCCCGTTATTGACTGCAACGGGAACAAATAGTCATTAATTATATGATCTGGGTTAACATAAATTTTTATTTAATGTTCAACGTTAAATTATTGATATTTTATTTTAAAGGTATACCTAGTTTAATTTGTGTTTGTGCGGACACAATATGGACTAACTGTCATAGAATATAAGACGCCCAAACACCTCTATGATAAGCTAGCTTACTAACATTTAATTAAGTTCAATAAGTAAGATACAATATTTTGTAACAGTCATCAATTACTTGTTATTTAGTATTACGTGTTCTAACAATCATCAAAATTGTTTGTTCGATTTATTTTAAAACAGGCATACGAACCTAATTTTCATTCCTCTATTAAACTTTTTCGTTTTGAATTATTCGTTTTATAATTACGTTAAGATCAATCGAAATTAGTTCGTTACTGTGGAATTTACATACACTACGGAAATGGTAATACCACTGGCTAATTTGAAATTCATGATATTACGTTTAGCGGAGTCACACGAAACTGTATAATTTCGGGCGGCACAACGGGATTCTGTTCGTGGGTAAAATAGTGTTTAAATAAAACTATGCAGTCCCAAAAAGTTGTGAAAATCTTTCAAATCGATTAAAAACACTGGAATAAAAAGAAATATTATTTTCAAAAAGTCCATGCTTATGCCTGGCGCTAAGCTTTCAACACTCATTCAATGTTTCCGTATCAATCAGAACAGTTTCCTGGACTAAGTATCACAGTATTATTGTTTATAACCCAGAATAACATATAAAAATTTCATGCGGGTGAAGCTGCGGGCAAAAGCTAGTTACTACATAAATCTGAAGAATATCAATGATGCTATCAGGTCAGCAGGGTAGGAGGACTTATTAACAAACCTTTTTTTATACAATTGTGGCATAAAAACCTAATATAATAATACGATATCTTCAAATATATTAGTTTGGGCTTCATAAAACCCAACTAAAACTGCTTATCGCTGTAAAGGGTTAATCAACTTAGCGCCAGAACAAATGGCATTGTTACAATTTTTACTTTATTTGCAATGGCATCGATATAAAGCACCTGTGCCGCACCAAATGGGTAGGATTGTTTACACAGGTAGCTATGGGGCTTTGTACAGGACTGGTGAGGCTCAGTTTGCTTGTATTTCTCTCGGAATACGTATCGGGGCAAAAAACTTTTGATGGTAAGTTTTAACAAGCCATATTATTTTGATTGTCGGAAAAAAATTATAACTTTTATAACCATGATCATTATCTAGTCTAGCGACCGATTTTCGAAAAAAAAATCCAAAAAATGTCATCATATTTTGTAACTTACATTGGTCTTAATATCTATTGTTGATCACCAGGATTAAAATTAAAATAGTTAAATAAAGCTGTATATTTTATGCCTACAAGGCTTAAGTGTACCTACTAGGATATATTAACTAGAGTTTTTAATCTAAAACATTAATAAATACCTACATTTGAAATGTTACAGAACAAAATGTAGACAAATGGGGCCATCTTAAAACAATACCACGCACATTTGAAGTTCGAAGTGAAAATGCTAAAATAGAGTTTAAGAAATACATAAACGATATTCAAGATCTCACAGCTGGTAAAAACATGTCAGTTCTCTACAAGGTAAATGTTGAACTGATGGATGCTGAGAAAAGATTCAACAAGAAGAGGAAAGTGTACAAAAAGATAAGATCAAAGAAGTACAATGTACCTTTGAAGAAGCAGAGCATGAAGCTATCCAACTTCGAGGTCCTGATGAGGAAAATAGCAGAAGAAAACGGACAGAAGAAACCAAATTTAGAAATATTATCGTTTTTGACGACTGATAAACCAACGAAGCCAATGACGACAAAACAAATAAAGCTGAAATTTAAGCCGATTTTGAGAAAGGTGAAAACGAACTACACGAAGATCATAAAGCCGGTGAGAAGTAAGATAATTACGCTGACAAAATAGAGCGTCTTACTTTTATGAAATTATAGAAATGCAGGACTTTTGATAGTGGTATTTTTGTTGCAAAGTCCCACTTATTAGAACTGTATAAGGTGTTACAGTGTAAACCTGAATGTACGAGTATGTACCAATTTAAGTTTCAAAATATCTTATAAAACAGTTTTGTATTTTTGTAAATAAAATAAAAACATTTTGTATGAGCTTGTGTACCTATCTAATATGATGATGTTATTGTAAATATAGTTTTTAACATTATCTTGGATTTTTCTTAAAAATTGTCATATATCTCTACACCCAATATTAAGTTGATTCTCAGGAATCCAAAAAATATAACAAATTAAAGCAAAGACCATAACACTGATAGTTCCGTATTGATATTTTGATATCCATCCACCAATCCATTCAAAATACATTTTTCATCGCAAAAATTTAAAGTAGCGTCAAATTTAAAATCACGATCAGCAATAAAAACATAACGGACTATCAGTTCTGTTTCTCGCCATGAACCGGAAACCGCGCTTATGAAACATATTTCAGCCAAATTGCGCAACATGAAGCTATAACTGTTTGGACCTTCATCTTGTTGATACTTTTGGTAAAAAAAAACAAGTTTTTCTACTACTCAAATCATCATCATCATTATCATCAATCACTCCACTCCAAAGGAGTTACACTGCTAAATAATAGGCTTCCCAAGTTCTCCCAATGATTTTCAGATTGGCCGATTGGTTATTCGTGGAGCGCCTTTCTTCAACTTTTATTAGGTCAAACATTATCAGTTCCGCCTCTGTGGTCTAGTGGTAAGACCACCTGCTTCAGACGCTGAGGTCCCGGGTTCGATTCCCAGTGGGGGCAGATTTTTCTGTTCGGTTTGGATGGTGGTAGGGCTTGTTCTAAGCCCGCCTGGCTAACTACCACCATCTTACCTAAGTCTGTCGCCATAACAACAATGTTAACAGCATTGTTGTGTTCCGGCAGTTAGAGGTAAAGATAGCCAGTTCCTCCGTGGTTGAGGATTCCGGGTGAAGCTCGCTTCCACCTTCGACCTGATCGTCACTTACTATCAGGTGAAATATAGGCCAAGAGCTTCCTCGTTGTGAATAATAAAAAAAAAGTTTCAAAATACTAATTTTCAAGATTCCATGTTCAAAATTGATTAATTAATCCTGCTTTCCACAAAAATTTAGGCTGAAATTTTACGCTGAAAAAAGGCATTACATCAGCTTGCGGAAGCAAGATTCTGTAATCAGAGGCGCAAATACCGAACCAATTTAATTCTTATGTTGATTTACCTTCTAACGAATGCGGGCTGTTAGCAGAACATCAGCAAACAATCAAATTGATTCTAACGAGAAATGTAAGTGTGAAAAATAAAACCTTTTTATGCAAGATGATGATAATGATTGTATGTGTTAAAAGGGTGTCAAACTTCTCATTTTTGCGCTGCCCCTACAGCAAGCAGCATGCTGTGCTCGGATTTTCTCTAAACGATCGAATAAGAAATCAGGAGATTCATAGTAGAAATAAAATAATCGTCATTTAATGCATTATCGCTAAACTTTAGTGGCAGAAGGCAGTCAAATTATTGAATTATGACTATCGGAAAACATAGAGTTATACTCCCACTGGGTGGACCGATAAACTAATGTCACCTCAAAAATCCCTTTTCTAAATTATAGCGTTCCTCCTTTAGTATTTTAATATGTTTTTTATAGTAAGTTCGAAGTGTTGATTGGGCCCAAATATTGAGACAACTAAATTAACTGACTTTCATAAGAGCACTTTGGTCAAAATCATAGAAATCTACTTCATTCCCTTTCTTCGTAGCTCCACGACCAAGCAGGCAGTTTCTATTCAGCTCACAGTGAGATTCGCATTCCGCTGTGTTTTCCGAACGGAACCGTTACATAAGTGGTCTACGCACTGAACAAAATTAAATACATCCTTTCCGAATACGCCCCTTTGGGTGTAATCTTGTGTGAAGTGAAGATGGATGTGTGAAGGCTGGATTGAAGCGCTGCGGATTGAGGCGGCTTTGAGGCGAATGGATGGGGACAGTGCATTTAAACTGAAGCAGAATCTATCTGAACATTTATTTTCAAAAATTAACTTTGAAATAGGTAGGTAGATAATAGGTAGGTAGCAGGGAAGCGCTGGACGCAGACCGCTACCAATCGATCAACATGGAAAGCATTGGGGGAGGCCTATGTTCAGCAGTGGACGTCCTATGGCTGAAATTATGATGATGATGAACTTTAAAATTGATAATTTCTGTTTTTTTTTACAAAATTAAAGATTCGAGTTACATTGCTATTTTTTTGTAAACTAGTCTAATTACTAAGGTTAAAAAAGTAAAATTGTTAAATTGAACCAAAGAATAGAGCGCGCAAAATAAATTGCATACCTCTTTATAAACAACTTGAAGTTCAATTTTATCCAAAGAAATAATTCTGGTGATCAAACTACTTCTCTACAATTTTTTTAATTAGGTAAGCTTTTTTTTTCTATATCGAAAAGACTCGGAAATGTTTCACTATGGTAGCTATTTTTATTTTCAAAGTTGGACCCTAAAACCAACAGAAAGTTCGAAGCAATAAATGTACCATTCCTAAGATAGGAACTCCCAAACATTTCTCCCGCCCCTTGTTCTTTCGCAGCCGATCCGAACTATTTACCCCAAATCTCGGTGATAGTTCAATGCTTGCTTTACGATGGCCGTGAGGGTGACATCAAAGTGTCCCACTGCCATAAATATCATAGCAAATTGACTGAAAACTTATCGGGGACTATTTAAATGATAAGTTTGCGCTGTGGCGCCAAATATTTTGGTGCAGCTCCTTTATCTGGACGTAGTAAAAAAAGATCAGTATTATACAGTATTTTAAGGTCAGTATTATACAGTATTTTAAGGTCAACTATAATAGTTTTTAAGTTCAGAGAGATATTAGAAGAAAATTAGGTACGAGTACTTAACGTGCTTTAAAATTAAATTGAGCGAGTTGATTTGTTAACTGAATGTTTATTCTTTTAGTAAAACTACTATAACACAATTTAACTAGCATTTTGAAGTCTACGGAATCGAGATTTGCGTTTCATTTGGTTACTTTCTATGTATCTTGTTGGCCTAACATCAAAAAGTTCATTCTCTTTTCTCCAATTTTATTATACTTACCTCTTCCTACTATGACCCTAGCCTACATGTTTACATACGAGAAATTAGCATACCCATTTGAGGTAGGAAAACATGATGGTAGTTCATTGTTGAAACTGCTATACGTTCTAGGCGGTAGTTATTATAATAATACTCTGGATATTATGTAAGATAACCGCTTCTAATGTTGTGATCATTAATTTGTGTCCACATTGTTGTAGTAGGCACTTAATATTATGAACTAGATGCCGCCCGCGACTTCGCACGCGTGGAAACTTCCAACCCCCGTTTAACCCCCGTAGGGGTGGAGTTTCGTAAAATTCGATCTTAGCGGATGCGTACACCCTATAAGGAACATCTATATATATGTTACAGGAAATGTATGAAATCCGTCATTGTATACAATTCCTAGGAATTGTGTATAAGTCCTAAAATCACCCGGAAATGTGTGATGTAAATTATATTAGACACATTTCCTAGGAAATTTACACATTTCCTAAACAGCAATCGGAAATGTAATTAAGATTTCAATGAATACGCGTGGACATACGGTGCGAGGGGAGGATATTGCATCATCCGATTACGCGGGGTCTCTATCAAATCGTCTATTTTTTTTCACGCCTAGTTGTCTATGGCACACAAATTTTAAGCCTAAATTTTTTTTACACAAGATTATTTTTATTACGCCACTTTTTTTTTATCCGAAACTTAAATGGCGTTCCCGCGCCGCGGCAGCTGTGTATGTGTAAGGTCGCAAGTCTAACCTAACCTAACCGAGACTTTGTTATCCAGCTACAGAAGTATTAAAACCTTTATGCCAATAAGTTTAATAAAAGAGATGTTAAAATTAGGGATTTCCAATACTTCAGCGTAATATGCATGATGCCGAAAGAAAGGATGCCAATAGGCAAATATTTTTTTCAGCCAATGTATAATAGTGCGAAAACAATTGTCAGGCTAAACAATAATAATTGTGAGTTAAAAGTACCAATCGGCCAATGTGGTTTGGCTAAATGAAATTTTAGGCGTACCGAGGGGCACCCGATCACGCGACCGCGCTTGTGCCGCTTAGTTTTATACATTTCCTAATACAATATTGGAATTCTATAAAATTCCTAGGAAAAGTATACATTTCCTAGGATATGTGCGTATTAAAAAAAATCTGAAGCAATATTTTATACATTTCCTAAATAGCTTCGGAATTGTATACATTTCCTAGGAATAGTATACAATTATAACTCAAGAACGGCTGAACCGATTTAGCTGAAAATTGTCAGGGAGGTAGTTTAGAGCCAGGAGAAGGACATAGGATACTTTTTATCCCGTTCGAAATTAAAAAAAAAGTCTGCTTATTTATTGCCATTAAGGCGGAACAAAGTTCGCCGGGTCAGCTAGTAGGTACCTGCTAAATTTCAAGTGTGTAGGTGTCAAAGTTTTTTTTTTTTTATCCACAACGAGGAACTCACCTAAGGCCTGTATCTCACCTAAGATTTCTTTTTTTACTTAGCCAGAAGGTAAATGCCGGAGAATACTTTTATGGCATTAAGTTTGTTTTAAGTATCTCGAGCTAGCTAGTAGCTCGACTTGGTGGGGGCACTGCCGTGCCCCGAGCAAAAAAGCGGCACGGCCGTACCATCCTTTTCTCGAAGCAATTCAGGCCATTTTCGACCGCCTGTAACTTCGTTGTGGATAAAACTAGAAGGCTGAATTTTCATTAGCTATGCAGGCATTGTAAAGACACGGTATATTTAAAATTTCATTCAATTTGAACCAGTAGTTTAAGAATTATAACGGGTCAAAGTTACTTAATTTTGTCACTCACTGACTGACTCACTGACTCACCGATCATCAA